GTATCAGTATACTTACTGTTCTGCAGATGTTGAAAGGTGGTCATCTCTGTGCATTCCTTTTCTGGGCTTTGGAAATTGAATAAAAGTAGCTGCTTTCAACCCTATCTGTTCTGCATGTATGGTCACCCCCTTCCACTTTCCATGGTAATTTAGGTACTGTAGCCTATTAGTGTATTGCATAAGAGTTTCTACAAAACCAGTGATAAAAAGATTCCTCTCCCACCCCCCATATCATCAGTAGAAGGCATTGAGACAAGAAGGCCTCAGACAGATTAAAGCATCATTCATCTTAATAATGCATCGTGCATTCACAATGACACTGAAAAACTGCCCGAAGTTGAATGTGCGGTAGGAAGATCACGTGAGCAGACAGGCTACTCTTCATTAAACATTTATCTTGTAACAATGAGAACAACATTTAAGTTGCTTCTTTATTATTTGCTGTCTTATAAATTGTTTTATTATTATCGTTGATATTTTCTGCAGCATATTTTTAGACTGTCAGAGATTTTAAGCTGAACCCTTTACTTAAAAAGCTCTGCTGCAGTTAAGCACTTAGAAACTCTCATGTGTTCTGTCCTGTTTGCTTTATTATGCAGTGTCATTTTAGTGTTCAGCCTGCTTAGTTTTAATCAGATGATATTTGCCTTATTTTAAAAGATTATGGACTATAAAATTATGAAATGAATGTGCTTCCCTCCATCCACTAGGGACCTAAGCACATTTAAGGTATGTACAAGTGTTTAAAGTATATTTATTTTGAAGTGTGAAAATACAGTACCAGTCTGGACCATTTGAATCCTTTAGTACAGTAGATACCTGAAATACCTGTGTTCTGCTAGGCATCTTGTCTCTGTTCTTCGAGTGCTGCTGCATCAGTTGTCATAAATAGAAGGTCAGGTGTGGATTTATTTGGGGATTTTGTTAGGAGCTGTATGTTTTGTCTCTTAATCTAATTCTTCCTATTATTTTCTTGATGGATTTATTTCAGCTAATGTTAGCTATCTCATAGTTAGACATCAAGTCATCATCCATGGTCAGTTAGGGGGAAGAAAGATCTCCAGTGTATGATTAACTGTGCAGCTTCGACAGGTGCAGGGTAGCATTGGTTGCCTTCTGAAATTGCATACCTTGAGTCTGGGAAGTAAATTAATCAAGATTCTTAAGCCATTTAAAGATTCTAGTAAGGAAATCTCATGCTTGATACTTACATTTTGTTTGTTGCTCTCAAACATGTAGTGTGCAGTATGAAATCCTCTGCTTGGTGGTGGCTGACTGTTTGTAGCTTGGTTAGCTAGGATTATGTTCAGATCATAAAGTCAGGCTCGCTAGCTTTTACATGATTGCTCCACCATGTCTAATTCTTGTGGTAGTTTCAATTTGAAATAATTAATTGAGAAATCTGCCCAGTATATTTCCCTCAAGCACAAAAGCAATTAGGCATATTTATTACTTGCTGCAGTCTGTGTATTCTTCTGAGAAATAGAATAGCACTAGACTATAGCCCTGGGACCCCTAGCTCTTGTTCCACTGCAAATGACTTCATAGTCTCTTAAGGCTGTGACTTCTCAAGTTGGTCCAGTTTAGTGCATGTCAGTGCAGATTAAATTGATTTCAACTTTTATGTTCTCATGTTTAGGAATGGGTGTACTAAAGAAAACTTAATGAAGTTGGTCCTGTTGACTACAGCTTGAAAGTTCTTATCAATAAAGGTATTTTTTTTCATGCTTTTAAAATCTTTAGTACCCTAACAAATATATTCTTGGTGATTCTTCCAGTAAGAAGTCTTTCAGTTTTCTACTACTGAGAAGATACAGTGGCCAAAACAGAGGAGTTCTAGTCTGTCTTTATTAAAGAACTTTCTTATTACTGGAGATGGATTGACTTATTTCATAAGTTTTTCTTTCTTAGAATTAATTATTTTTCCTCTAATTATTTTAACTAGATCAGTCTGTTCATAAGATCTATGCTATGGAAATACAATACTACTAGGGGAAAAAAAAAGGTCTCAACAGTCTAAACTTTTGATGTTTGTCATGCAGTTTGAAAAAAACTTCAAAGTGACAATTATTTTTGAAAAAGCCTATCAAGAGAAAAAAAAAACCCTAACCTATTTATGTTAGCAATGACATTAGTGCTTCATAATGAAAGTGGAAATTGAAAGAAAAGCTTTCTCGGGATACTAGGATTT